CTGTGAATTAGAGCCTAGTTCAGATTGCTGTGATATTCTGGTCAGCTTCCTCATGTTCTCGGAAAGCTAAAGCAACTCTCAACTTGAGTTATGGATGGCTGAAATGTTCTGGAGCAACCAAGAAGCAAAGTTTTGATTTTTGAAATAGAGGTTGGTGAATATTGTGTTACAGTTTTAAAATAGAAGTTGGGAAGACCTCTATGTGTATACCAGAAACTATATTGATGATTTGGCCAAGAAACGCACAAGGAAAGTTAGAGTTTGGACGCAAAAACTAAGAACTAGCAGGATTTATATTTGTACTGCAGTTTCAGGTTCTTGGGAATTTTCAACAAGGTTTCAAGGCTTTTTTCCAATATCTTCCCCCTTTAATGTTTGCAAAATGAAGTTTAATTTATAGGCAAAGGATTTAGAAACTTAGAGAAGTCAAGAGTACATCCATCATGTGTTATGGCTCGTTGACTTGTTTTTGAAGCAATTTTAGACAGGCCAGGTTTCAAGGCAAAGTAGAGTGGTTAACAGCTTTAAGCACACCTAATCTGAGTTTGTAGGCATGATTTATGGAGGAAGTACACTCAGAAGCAGAGTGAATCATGGGCTCAAAATAAACTTTGTACAAAAGTTTGCTTTTCAAGGACAGCAATGGTACTTTCATGTCACACGTGGGAATATCCTTTGGATAAAGACTCAAAAGTTGGTGTAAGCATTAAATGATGATGAGATTTAACAAGCCAGAAATCCTACAACACGAGATGATGCAGCATAGCTTGAAACTGGATCAAAAGTTCAGCATAAACGTAACTTAGAACAAATATCCAACTTCTGATCTTAGAATCTCCCTGCTCCAGCATGATCTGAAGGAGTTCTCAGACTTTTCAGAAAGCTTGTGACATGCTTTGTAATCCCTCTTTGAATCATCTTTGCAAACTCTGATTGTTCCTACGTAAAAATTGGCCTAGAAGTTCTAACCAAATTCTGACTTGGAAAGGCTCAAAATTTACTAAGTGTTTTAGCTTCATGGACGTGTTTTCAAGATTTATAACTTGAAATCCCAACGTTTCTAGGAAAAGTTCTATTCTGCAATGTTTTAGATCTCATTGAGATCTAAAATCTTGTGTCATAAGTTCTTCCTGAATCATCTTGCATCATAATGAAAATCTGGCCAGAAGTTCTGGACTTATCATACTTTCTTAACACTTAGAAAAATTTCTAAGTGTTTAGAACTTTGATTTTTCCAAAGTAATTTTGACTTTTGATTTTCTTGGTGAAACAACTTCATATTCTAACATGTCTTGATGAAATGAGATTATTGAAACTTGATTTTGATTAAAAAGTCAAAGTTTTACTTTTTCAGTGTGCATTTGACCATTTTACCCTTGTGCCAATTCCAAGCCTAAATTGATGTATCAGTACTGCAAACTTGAGTCATGGAAGATCTTGTGAAAAATCTTTGAGAAATGAGAGGGCAAATTTTGGGGTACAACAGCTACCTAAAGGGGACATTAGACAACGCTTAACTAAAATATATAAAAAAAAGAAAAAATAATACAATAGACAACGCTTTTCTATAGTGTGCTTATAGCAGCGCTTTCACTTTAGACAGCGCTTGAGGAAGCGATGTCTAAAGTGAAAGTGCTGCTATAGACACACTATAGAAATCACTTACATTGTTAAAAGCGCTGCCTATAGGGGCCTTTAGAAAGCTCTTATTCAATAGAGCGTTGTCTAAGGTCTACATTAAGCAGCGCTTTCACATAGACTAAAAGCGTTGCCTAAGGTTACAGCAGCGCAGGAATATGCAGCGCTTATAAGCGTTGTCTATGCCCCAAAAAATACTGTCTATGTGCTTGTTTGGCATAGTGAACCCATCGCCCCAGTCTCTAAGCAGCCATGCATTATCAAGTGTTGTTTATTTCATCCCCCAAAAGGATGAGTAAGCAAAGCCAAACCAAGACATACAATATTATCTCTCAAACTCAAAACCATATGCCTCGTCGTCAAACCCTGGTAAGCGATATATCATCAACTGTGCCTATTTCCTCAAGACTCTTAAGGATACGCTATATCAACGTAACCTTATGTTTGTCAGACAAATTTTAGGGTATTCCAAGTATTCAATAAACTCCCAATCAGAATGCGCAAGACTTGTGTATTCTCACGCTATTCGATTGGAAGATAATTGAATAGGGGAAGCTGTCGTACCCCAAATTTGTCCTACCTTTATGATCACATTTTCAAGGTTAAACATGAAATAAAAATATTTAATTAAGGATGATCTAGCAATATCTAATGGCTCATTCTTAAATCCAAGTTAACTAGGGGGTGTATTTTAATTCAGGGGAGTGGGGCTTTCTAAATCAGAAAGACCCATGTATCCATAGACCCATTTACGAAGCATGTTGGCCAATGGCCCATGAGATTCGAATATGGAAAATTATTTCAAGGAAATTATTAAGTTTTAATTATTATTAAGTCCATTAGGATTTGTTGTTGTTAGTAAAAATAGGAGGTGAAAATTCAATTTACAAGTCCATTAAAATGCATATTGGCCCATTTTTCGTTTTAGTTGTTGAAAAACAAAGGGGGTATAACTATAAAATTACAAGCCCGTTGAGGTTTTTTAGTCAGCCCCATTTGTCTTTTTATTTGCTGTCTCATTTTAAAAGAGAAAATATTACTAAAAATCTGCCTTCACAAATTAGTTTGTCATTTATTATGAAAAACATTTTTTTTAAATTAATCTGTTAAACATTTTAAGAGAATTTCTATTGTTACTATTAAAAGAGATGTATTATAATAATGTTTTATTTTATTATTAAAAGATATTAGATTAAATATTATCCATACAATTTATTTATTAAAGCATTCTTTATATGCTTGCACCAATTCTCATAGTTGTCAACTTTCAGAATCAGAAGACTTGCTAGAAAATGCTCATTCGAATGATTCATTGTCATCGTGATTTTCTTTCCACGAATGCTCAACCAGTGCTCTAGTTACCCGACGTTGGAGTTGCACCAAAACTATGGAGAATTCTGAATCAATCTTGATGAACAAGGTTCAATCAATCCGATCAAAATCTCTTGTTCTTCACTCTTCACTCAAGTGAATCAACCAACCTTAGTTGCAAGATGATTATGCACAACAATTAACAATGGAGAAAAGAGAAAAGATAAATTGAGGAAGAAAGAGAAGTTAAGGTTTAAACAAAGAAGAAATAATTATGTAGAGTTTCTCTCTGCCCACAAATTATAGAAAACTTATTCTTTTGCAATTATAAATTTAGTGTGTGAGATAATTACAACAATAGGGGTTACTCTCTATTTATAGTTTTAGGTTTGTTTTCTCTCTAAGTCAAAGTCTAAAACACAAAAGTCCAAATACCTAATTACTAATACTATAAAATAGACCTAAGTCGAAATCCATATCGAGACAACCTTCTTTGACACTTTAACAATACTAGATGTTTCGACAATAACACGCTTCAACACTATGAATTATATTCTCAACATGAATCACTTACAAACGTCTCTGAGTATCCCCTACTTGTGTAGGGATATCTTGCACACCAAATACACTATATTTCTCCGACTGATTTGAAGAAAATGAGAATGAGTTTGATGACTTTTCTCTTTAATTCTTTCATTTCTTTCTTTTCTTTTTTTTTTACATTAAAATGACTTTTTCCGCTACAAATAAACCAATATATTTGAATCTTTCCAAGTAAAGAAAGCCTAATAATACCGAATAAAATTTGAGATTAATTGGTTCATATTACAACAAAAAAAAAAAAGAAGTATTAAATCACTTTTACCCATTAATTCAAAATCCCAAAGTTTGAAAGGGTTAAAGCAACTCATGGCAGTAATTTTGTGCAACCCAAACCAATTCCACAATGTCATACTCTCCAATTTTTTTTTTCTTTTTAATTGTCAATTGCGAAGTTTAAAATAATACTAATGATATTTTTATTAAAATTATCCTTAATCATTTATTGCATAGAAAAAAAAATCAAATACAAATGATAAATAATTAAGAATATTTTAGATAAAAAGAAAATTATCATTTAAAAAGTAACAATAATGATTAATTTTTTTAATATATATAAAAATAAAAAGTGACAATTAAAAGAAACGGAGAGAATAATTAGATCAGCTATTTGAGTGACAATAATACCAATAATTTGATTTTAAGTAACAAATTTATAATATACTACTAGAAGATGGTAATTGATTTTCACCAAAAAAAGAAAAAATGGAATGATGATCACATGGGTTGGGTTGTCAGTTGTCTCGTAACACACAACATAGCCCACATTACGCTCATTTTGCCTTCAGACACAATTGAACTTGTCTTCCATACACTTCTCTTTCTTACTCATTTACTACCATCTCCCATGATAAATCCAAATTTATATGGTATTTTTTTTATAAATAGAGTATTTTGCGGTTAACCGTAAAGATTAATCTATTGAATCGGAGATAAATTTTATTTTATCTTGGATTAAATTTAAATTTTTATTATATCTCATATATGATATGATGTCTCTGCATAACTATTTATGGAGTAATAAAAATGAATAAAAAAAAATTATGAATTATTGATATATTGTCTCTAGCTTAGTAGTTACGTTACGTTACAAATAGCCATCAATTTAGGCAGCAAGAACAAGTAGTTTTGTATTGTAATTTGTGAAATTGATTTGAGAGTTTTCTTCTTGTCTCCAAATAAACCACTCTCTTTTCACTCTCCTCCATTCTTTATACCAACTCACTCTCACTCTCTATTCAAACCTTTCTACTCAACAAACAACTCTACTTGCTTTTCATTTCGATTTCGATTTCGATTTCGATTTCGATTTCAGATCGTTTTCTGAGGTTAGTAAGTAAAGTTGCATTGATGTTTTTGATTTGATTAGATAATTAATGCGGTGTTTTTTTTTTGGTAATTTTGAATTAGAAGCGATGTTTAAAGGTGATGATGAAGTTTAGATTTGAGAAATGGGATGTGTGATTGGTCGTCAAGCAACAACGTCTGAGAAGAAGGTTGATGAGGTTGATAATGGTTGTGAGAAGGAGAAGATTGATGGTGGTGATAGGGTTCAGGTGCCGACGACTCGAGGCGAAAGTAGAAGAAGATTGAAGGCGAATCCGAGGTTAAGTAATCTGCCGAAGCATTTACTTGGGGAACAGGTTGCTGCTGGATGGCCGCCTTGGCTTACTGCTGTGTGTGGGGAGGCTCTTAGTGGATGGATTCCGCGAAAGGCGGATACATTTGAGAAAATTGATAAGGTGTTTTTCTTGTTTTGGGATTATTACTTCTTTACTTGATTTAATGGATCATGCTTTATCTGGAATGTGGTTTGAATTGCGTTCATTAGTGCAAATTAATTCATAGTGATTGAAATGTTTGTAATTTGTCTGTAAGTGATACAGAGACGAGGATGTTGCATTGAATGTGTGGTAAAACTAAATAGAATTAGATAGAGTGTTAGATAGCACCTATTGTAGAAAAGATGCTGGAAAATTGACTTAGTGTTGGACATAATTGATTTTGACATAATTGAGTTTGGTAGAATTGATTCTAAGATAATTGAGTTTAGCATAATTGATTTATGTTTGGATATATTTAGGTAAACAACAAATTTCAGTGTAAAAATCATGTTTAAACTCAAAAGCTATAAATTCTAGTAGAATCAATTTTGTAGGCATAATCAATTATACTTTAGAGGAACCAAACGCCTCAAAAATACTCCAAAATCAATTCTACTACTCCTTTAAAATTGCTTTTTATTCTTCGAAAAGCCAAACCAAACACGCTATTAAATAGTTTGAGCATGTAGAAAGAAGACCTGTAAATTTTATGGTAAGGAGAGTAGATCAGATGAAGAAGAGTCAAACAAATAGAGATAGAGGAAGACCTAGAAAAATCATACGGGAAGTTATTAAGAAAGATCTTTAGATTAATGATTTCGATAGAAACATGATCCCGAATAGATCATTATGGTGGAAGCTGATTCATTTAGCTGATCTCACTTAGTGAGATTAGGCGTGGATGTTGTTGTTGCTGTTGAGTTTGGTCCTTAGAGGAACTTGCGTGGTGTAGAATCTTGCATTTAAGTTCTGACTATGATTCTTGTCTCTTAATGTTGCTTTTACTTTAGATTGGGCAAGGAACTTATAGTAATGTGTACAAAGCTAAAGACTCAGTGACTGGTAAAATTGTTGCTCTCAAGAAGGTTCGTTTTGACAATTTGGAACCAGAGAGCGTTAAATTCATGGCTAGAGAGATTCTTATTCTGCGAAGGTTGGATCATCCAAATGTTATTAAGCTGCACGGTTTAGTTACATCGAGGATGACTTGTAGTTTGTATTTGGTGTTTGATTACATGGAACATGATTTAGCTGGACTTGCTGCAAGCCCGGAAATCAGGTTTACAGAGCCTCAGGTTAGACGAGGTTTGACCAGATGATTTCATAATTGCTTATTTTATTCTTTGGTATTTGATACACTTTTTTTTCAAGCAGTAGAATTTGATGTTTCCAAAAAAAATTGCACCTTCAATTGCAGATAAAATGTTACATGAATCAGCTGCTATCGGGACTTGAGCATTGTCATAACCGACATGTACTTCACCGTGATATTAAAGGATCAAATCTTCTTGTTGATAATGAAGGAATACTAAAGATTGCTGACTTTGGGTTGGCATCCTTTTTTGATCCAAACCATAGGCATCCCATGACTAGTCGTGTAGTGACACTTTGGTATCGGCCTCCAGAGTTGCTTCTTGGTGCTACAAGTTATGGTGTGGGTGTAGACCTTTGGAGTGCTGGATGCATTTTAGGAGAGTTATTGGCGGGGAAACCAATTATGCCCGGCCGTACAGAGGTAACAACTTACATATCTCATTTTGTTGGCTTTTTGTATTTTATGTTTCCCTTGTTTTTATGTATACTGGATCATATGTTTACTTATATATTATCTCATACATAGTCTAAGAGTTTTAAATTCCTATACTATAGATAAGTTCTTTGAAATCACAACTGATTTTTCTAACTCCTTACTTGCATAGGTGGAGCAACTCCATAAGATATACAAACTATGCGGTTCTCCTTCTGATGAATACTGGAAGATGTCAAAGTTGCCAAATGCTACCTTGTTTAAACCTCGAGAGCCGTACAAGAGACGCATAAGAGAGATATTCAAAGGTTTTCCACCGTCTGCTCTACCCCTTATTGATAATCTTCTTGCAATTGATCCTGTAGAACGGAAAACCGCCTCAGATGCTTTGGGAAGTGAGGTGGGCTTTTTGAAAATTTCTAGTTTTGTAACTGAATAACCATTCAATAGCAGAAACCGTCACTCTATCTTTCTTCATCTTCTCTATTCTTTCCATATTCTTTCTCTGCAATTATCCTAGCTATACCAAATGTAGACAGTCCAAAATCAATGTAATACTACTGGCCATGCCATGTATGAATTTATAAAATGTAACTATGTTGAATCTGATTCAGGTTGAGTTACATCTACTTTGCTTGTCTGCTCCTACATTTTGCAGTTCTTTATGACAGAACCTTATGCTTGTGATCCTTCTAGTCTTCCAAAATACCCCCCAAGCAAAGAAATGGATGCTAAAAAACGGGATGATGAACTGAGGAGGTATATCTGCTCTTAAGTTTTTTCCTTTTTGTTTTGGGTAATGTCTGCTAGTTATGATTTAGCCAACCTGGTATGTTTGATCAGCACTAAGATACTTTTTGTTTCTATAAATGCTCAGACAAAGAGCTGCAAACAAAACTCGGGTTGATGGTTCAAAGAAGCACCGTACTCGTGATCGTGCTGTGAAAGGTTTTCCTGCTCCCGAAGCCAATGCCGAGCTTCAATCCAATATTGATGTATGTGCAAACAAATTATTAATATTTATTTTCACTAGCACATGAATGATGCTTTGGTTTATACACTTGCTTAATGCATTTGCTTTGAGACTATTTAAGAATGCTTAAGGAATGGAAAAATCTGCAATATTATGATATTGTGACTTAAAAGTAAAGTCGATTACATTTGTTTCTATGGTTTAATGCGTAACAGAGAAGACGTCTAATCACTCATGGAAATGCCAAGAGCAAGAGTGAAAAGTTTCCTCCACCACATCAAGATGCACAGCTTGGTGTTCCTTTGGGATCTTCACATCGTATTGATCCAGAAACTATTCCTGCAGATGCATCTTTCATTTCAACCACATATACTTATTCAAAGGAACCATTCCAAGCTTGGTCGGGTCCAATTGCTAATGCCGCTGATATTGGTTTGCCGATGCGAAAGAAACACTTTGCAGATGTGTTTGATTTATCAAAGTCACCTAAAGGTGCCCACAAGGACAAGTTTAAAGGAAAAGGAATTATAGCTTAGACATTTAATACATTCTTATAGAGTCAATTTAAGTATCTTGCTGAGCAAATGTCCTTTGAATGAGTCCCATTGGCCTGCTATGTGCCCACTTCCTGAGAGTAAGTATAAGATAATTGCTTATCAGCAGGTGATGATTTTTTTTTACAACTATCAGCAAGTGATGATATAAGAATAATCTGTCCAATCTTTAACTACACACCTTCAAAGTATACCTCATAATTTCTTTTCTTTTATTAAATGAAGCTTTTTTTTAAACTGTTAGTATGGTGAGAGAATGAATTACCATGATGTACATATTGATTTTAGTGTTAAGGAATAAAAAAAATCATCTTATGTTGGAACATAGGGTTTTCAAGAAAGATGATTTATGAAAGAGAAGAAGAAGAAGAAGAGAGAGAGATAGAAATTTTGTTATGATTCTAACTGAATTGTAACTGTATTGAATGTGAGTGTTGAATGTAAAATTACAAACTAACAAATCCTTTATATAGGCATACAATGCCCAAGCCCAATTCGACTCACTATGCTATAGCCCATACTTAATTTCGACTAACTACATAGCTGTTGTATACGACTCTATCGAATATAGTTTTGTCGCGACTGGTTTTTTAATCAAGAGTCGACACTATTAATTTTTATCCTAAAGAATGACATCTAATAGGAAATTTTAATTCGCAGACAGAGATTCTAGGTTTCAGACTTTATTAGACGAAAGGAAGGTGTCAGACACCTTTCATCTACCTTGTTCACAAGGATACTAGGTTTTAGGTTTAGGTTCGGGTAAAATAGAATTTTAAATTTTAATTAGGAGAACTTGCCACGATTTTTGATCGTATGCCTACGTACCCACTTATGAGGAATCAGAGTTTCAATTCGTAGTTCCTATGGTTAGTGTTTTTTAGGGGTTGCAAATGTATTTTGAATCACCTCGCATTTTGACCGGTTGTAGTGATTGAGGAGATTTTGGCTAAATGCGCGATTAGTCAAAATCCGTTTGAAAATCTTTTGCAAAAATAGTTGTTTAGATTAGTTGATTGCGAAAAATAGTTTGAGATTTGTTAGTATTTTTTAATCATCTTAATTACAAAAATTCCTGATTAATGGATGATATAAAAAAAAATATTTTAATGCAAATAATATAAGAAAATATATATGAATGAGTTTTTGAATAAAAATAATTTGGATGATAATATAATAATATTTACATATAATAAATAATAATACTATAAATAAAAAATATGATAATAAAAATTAATATTAATAATAATAATTATTATTATTATAAAGAAAAAGAAATAAATAATATGAAAGAAAAATAAAATTAAAAGTAAGAATTAAAAAAATAAAATAATTTAATTACTTCAGGGGTGTGTAGTTTCTAATTGCTAAGTAAACACGGGGGTGTTAAAAGGAGTCTGGGCTAGGTCCATATGTGATTCTGGACAGGGGGTATGAAGTGTTTGGCGTTTTAGTAATATAGTAAAAAGGGGGTGTTAAAATCAATTGGGCTTAGGCCCACTACGTTTGGAGAAGGGTCCGAGTAATCAGGTGTGGCGAGGGAGTATGGAGTACGATAGGGACTTGCCCTAACGGCCGTCAGATCGTGATCAGAGGAATGGTAATGAGAGATTATGTTAGTTACAGTATGCGCGCGGATACGGGATTAGAACGGTACATACAATATTTTGTTTTCTATTCATTTTCAGTTTTTGTTATTACAGTAACTCATTCATCTTCCTCACTCTCTCGTTACAGCACAAACCATTTTCTTCTCTCCCACTCCCAAACCCTAATGTCCATCCATGGCGGCGCTAGAAAACCCCCTACCATAAATCACACCCAAATATCAAAACAAAACGAAAGCTAATAACCTTACCCTTTTTACGATTTCGTTGCTCCGATTCTGAGTTTCGTCCGATTTGGGCTAATCTTTGTTGTACTCTAAATTTCACCCCTATTTTTTCAGTCGCACTTTCATATCATATTTTGTCATTTGGTCACAGCCATTAATAAACAGCTTCATTCATCACATTTGCATCATATCTTTAAGTTTGCTTTTGTGTTGTTGACTAACTTCTAATCAAAATACAAAAGATATTTGTCTTTGTATATTTGTGTTTTGTAGGTACCGAGTCAAAGCATCTGACAAATAAGGTTTTTCGATATTATTTCCCTAAAATCTCAATTTTTTGCAAAGAAAAATAATTAAAATTTTTCATTTTTTTCACTGTACAATCGATTGCTCTTAGAGTACAATCGATTGCACAAATTGTATTTTGCGTATTTTTTTGAAAAAAAAAATACTGATGCAATAGATTGCACAAAGTGAAATTTTGAAAAAAAATCAGTAATTTCAAGCCTGACAATTTTGGCTCCAATTCGTTTTCATTTTTTGATGGATATATCATTAATTCAAATTTTGGCTTCAATTTTTCATTTTTTGATGGATATATCATTAATTCAAATTTTGACTCCAATTTTTCTTTTTTTGAAAGATATATCATTAATTCAAATTTTGGCTCCAATTTTTCATTTTTTTGAAAATAATATCATTATTTCAAATTTTGGCTCCAAGAATTAATTATCAAACCACCACTAATCCCAAGCCTAAACTCTATAAATAGAGCCTTCATTTCATTTAAATCTCAAGCTTTTGATAGCCAGATTCACTTTGCTAAAAATTCTCTCAATTCCCTCCATCTACCAAATTCACTCAAAGCTTCATTTTCAAAAAAAAAAATAGTAAGCTTTGCATTGAAGCTTACTAATCTTTGAGCTAAACCTTCACCCAAACATTTTTTCTTTGTCAATTCTCTACATCCAAGCTTGGGCAATTGATTCTTGGGGTTGAATTGAAGCAAATTCTTGAAGTGGTTTTGATAATTCTCTAGATCTACCTTTGGTAAGTTGGATTTTTTCATCTTTCACAATGTGATCTCTTGTTGATCTTTGGGTTTGATTCATTTAGCATTGTTTTGTGATTCCATTGTTGTTATTTTCTCATAATTTGATGAATTTTCGTGCTCAATTGAATCCATGATCATAAGGTGTTTGATGGAAAGTTTGAACAAGAATTTGACATTTTGAAATGTTGATTTTCTAATTTTTAACAGGGCGTAATTGATTGTTGTAATAGTGTAATCGATTGTCACAGCAAAATTTCACTTTTTTTTTGAAAAAACACTGATGCAATCGATTGCATTAGCAGTGCAATCGATTGTAACCGAACAAAACTGTTTTTTCTGCCTTGTTTTGGGGCTGTTTTGATTCATCTATCTTTTTCTACTCACTCCTTTTGATTGTTGATTTGGATTGCAATTTTAAATGTCCAATTTCTCTTTAAATTCAATGGACTTTGGGTGTAGATGAAGTTGGATAAATGTTCATTGATTCAAATCTACCAAAGAGTGAATTATTTAATTCATTTTTTCTGCTTTGGATTAATGATATGTTTAGTACTTTAATCCATCTAGATGAGTGATTGAATTTAAAGATGAAAGAAATTTGAGGTAGTGATCTGAATTAGCTTATCATTCCCCTCCCTCTTCATCTTATCCATTTCTTTCTTATTGTACTACCTGTTAAGGGATAATGATCTCTATATCATTTATCCAAACATGAAGTACATAGATTGCTATTGACCGGCCTCAAAATAGGTGTGACTTGTACATAAGTCCACTTACGATTGCTTAACATAGTGCTACATTTTATCCCGATTTGAGAAAATGATCATTCGTTTCCAAAACCTATGTTTGCAAGTCCAAGTATGTTAATTTGAATCCTTTGATCCAATAACCTTGAGATTCATTGTTAGGAGGCTTTGGTTCTACCAATCATCAAATAGATCTTCATCAATTTTGCTCAACGCGGATCACTTAAACATCATTGATCATTAAACGTTGTCTTGAGGATTCTTAAATGGATGATATACTTGACAAAAAGAAAATACAACTTGTTGTTGAGAGGCTTTGGTTATATCAATCCTCTAATGAGTTCCAAATGCAAGTTTCAAGATGGTCATCCAACTAACCACTAATTTCTAACAATTGATTTTACTTTATGCTTTTTATTCTTATGCCCTTTACTTTATGCACCATTTTACTTTAGCATTTACATTTCATGCTATTTTCATCTTTGCTCACTTGAGCATTTACTTTTATGCCTTTTTATTTTACTCACTTGAGCTTTTTCTTTTCCTTTTGAAGACACTTAATAATCAACATGAACCATAAAAAAACATTAATGATATTTGGACTATTTGGTTACTATCCTTAGCATTATGGAGTATTGGACTTAGGATTAGAGACCTTGACTTATATTGGAGACCTTGTGACCTTAATTGATATTTTGTCTGGAGTTCTTGGGGTTTAACCCAAGACATTGAGTTGTTTGTTTGTTTTGTGTGCAGGTTATTGTGATTACATACTTTGTATGTAATCTGGAATTCATTTGTATACAATCGTTACTCTGTCCAATTTTTGTGAAGACTTAATGCAATTAGAGCTTGGTTTTCTCAAGAGGTTTAGTATCTTTGATTGATTTTAATCTAAATAATGGGAATTCTATCTTGACTCATAATGTCAAGCGTTGGCTTTTTGTTGGTTAGACGGTTCTCTTCCTTAGCTTTTACCTTACGCTTTAGGAAGTCCCTTCATCTCCTCCCATCTTCTTTAGTTTTCAAAATCTTCTCATCTTTTTCAAAATCTTCTTTGTTTATAAACTCAAATCGCTTTAATAATAAATCTCGACTTTGTCGAGTGCCTTTTCTTTTAAAACTTCTTTTCTTTAAACAAACTTCAATCAACTTAATCATAATTTGACATTTCTTTTTAAAATTAACAAAAAAAAATACTTCAACTCATTCAAACTCTTTTGTGCACTCGAGCACCTTTACCCTTCAAACCTTTTTTCAAAGATGAGACATGATTCATTGATAGTCGAGCAACATTTTTCTATCCCCGTGGTTATAAAGGTGTTGACTTTTCCACTTGAGTGCTAGA